TGCAAGGGAAGAACGGATAAGGTTGTAGAGGCCCATCTTCTCTGGATCCGAGCAGATGAGGAACGCCCAGGGGCTCCCTCAGAGGTGGGCTGGGACCTTCGCCCCCTCAAAAGGCCCTTTGTCTCCCCAACGTGGGGGTGGGGTGCCTTGGTGATGTTTTTACCGCGGATTCTATTTCTGCTTTATTCCCCACCCTACCCCCACCCCAGAAAACAAGAGCTTTCCCTTCTCACAATGGCCTTCACTCCATCCATCCAATGACAAGGCAGCCTATTACAGAAATAAACTACTGCCCCATAGCCTCCACCCATACCCCAATTTTCAAGGAGTCCCTGGGCAGCGCTCCCTTCCTAGGTCTGCTCTTTCTTATTACCATACACCTGTCTTTGTATTTCACTGCTGTGACTTTCCTGGATACTGGGGGCGGTACAGGATAAGGCATAGCAAATACCAAAACTACTAGCCAAACATTTTTCATCTTAAAATGCTTCTGCTGCATGTATGTTCCTCCGAGATTTTTATTTTGTTCCATGAAACCAAGTACCCAACCACTGTTATATTTAAAAAAGAAAAAAGAAAGAAATGCACAGCATTACCCTCTCAAAGGCAAAAGAATAGCCTAGTAAGCTGAACTGAAGTTAGACATCATGCAGAAAATTGGACAGCAGAATCACTTCGGGTGCTCATTTTGCAGTAAATCCACATCTTTGTGTGTGCTGTATGTCTGGTACAGATATGGGAATCTCTGCCATCATCTTTTCTCTGCTGAGCTCTGGTCTGGCTCCTAACACATCTCCTTGGCTTCTTTCTTGCTCGACTTTCCATTTTTTACCTGCAACTGAAGTCATCTGTAAAAACTGAAAATTGGCCCTGTCACTTGCTCTTGATGGGTGGTTCCTCATGACTCAACGGATTAAGAGCAAGACCGTTCAGGGGCTGGGGATGTGGCTCAAGTGGTAGCGTGCTCACCTAGCATGTGTGAGGCACTGGGTTCGATTCTCAGCACCACATAAACAACAACAAAAATAAATAAATAAATAAAGATATTATGTCCACCTAGAACTAAAAAATAAATATTAAAAAAAAGAGCAAGATCTTTCCTCAAACCATAAACCAGGTGTGGTCTGTCTTGCCAGTCTCCTGGCCTTATTCCACTGAGTTGCTGTTCTGGTCACTAGGAACATTTTTAGATCCTTAAATAGACTCCTTTCTTTGTTTGTTGGGGCCTTTTTACAGTATGTTTCCTCTGACTAGAATATGCTTTTCCACGTCTTTTGCCTGGTTGTCTTCTGCCATCTTCTTGGTGTTGGTGTAAATATCACATCCCTGAAACAGAACTGGTTAAATAAATACACTATGTGGTTTCTGTTATCATAGATTTTTTGCAAGTTTGTCTTAGAGATGAGAGACTTATCCTAGGGATTTGGTGTCACCAAGACTTATCTTAGAAAATGATACACATAAACTGTTTTTATAGAATTAAAAATTACCCCACAAATTTCAGACCCTGAATTTTATTTAGGAAACTTAGATGTAAAATATGGTTAAGGTATCATAAATATATAAAATATTTCACTTAAATAATAGCTTACAGTCTACTAGAGCTGGAGTTCTAGGCCTTAAAGAAAGTCAGTCTTGTTGGGGAACAAGACGAAGCACCAGAATGAGTAATAAGTGGTTGCTGAGTAGTGCAGACTGGAAAGGGAGGGACAACGTGCTTTCCCTTTTGGGGAAAGAGATGTGGCACATGGTGGGGGAGGACCTGTCATGTTTCCTGGTAAGCTTCCACTAACAGGTCTTTAGCCACAGGGTTACAAAGCAGAGTGTGCATTTTTGCAACTGAGAATCTAGACACATTTGGCCTTTGCCCTCAGGCAGTGACAGTGCCAGCATCTGGATGTCTACATAGATCCCAGTCTGCCCCTGAGAACTGTCACGGGAGCTGACTGCTCAGACAGCCTCTAGCCAGGGAGTTTTCACCCACATAATATGCAGGCTACACTTTCCAAAGAGACAGGCTTGATAAAATATTTTAATGCAGAAACTGACCACAGTGAATACATAATAGAGTCCATGTGATGTTTCTGTACTGCTGTTTCCAATTCATTGTTCTGTACCTCTGTACTTGTCGTGCTATTTATGTGCAGATTGCTAAGAAAACTCAAAAGTAGCATTGTCAATATTAGTCACATCGAGCCCAGTTATTGATAGTCAATGACAGCTATTTTAAGGATCATTTTCCAAGTGCAGAATAGAGTGAAATTTCCAACAGTTCATCATTTAAAATCAGTTAATTGTTCTGAGAACTGAGAAACCGGTAGTTTATTTATAGAGATCTCCATCAAACCATTTTAATTCTTGCAGTTGCAGAATTCTGCACACAGTGAAATAATTTTCATTGTAGCCTGGATGAAGTTATTTCTAAGGGTGTGGTAAACAAAGGATTTTTCTAAAACATAGAAAAATGATAAGTAAAACAAAGATCTTGGAATGAGTATCTCCAAAATTTCTTGCCATCAAAGTTATATTACCTTAAATCATAATTTTTCTAAATTTCTGTGAGCTACCATTGTTACCTGGAATCTTCACTTTCGTTGTGTTTTACAAAACTCCTCATGAGAACACATTTATTTTTCTACTTTAGATTTCTCACAAAAGAGAATCTGAACTGTTGGTTCATAGGACATCAGGTTCAATCCCAGTTCTGTCACTTACCACGTATGTGAACTTAGCCAATCTATTGATTTTTCTGAACCTGAATTTATTCTTTATAAAATGGGGGTTTTAATTTTTAATAGTATGTCCTTTCTAAGGTGAAGGACCAAGCTCTGTGCCTGATGAAGTGAATGTGACCAAGACTCAAGTGTGGGTCATCTGACACCAGAGTAAGCACTGTGTGGTGTGCAGCAAAGCCTGTCAGAGCTGGGGGAGGCCTTATTTAGGCTGCAAAAGAATGTGTGAATGGTTTGCAGCTGCAGGGTAAGAAAGCGTTGGGCATGCACCATCTGGCAGCAGGCAGAAAAGCCAAAATGACAGCTTGAGGCATGGTCCTAGTATCCAGGTTGCTGCCACCAAAGGCCAAGATGCAGCTGATGACAAGCCTGAGTTTTGCAGTGCTCCTGGGCATGATGCCTACTCTTTCTCTCATCCTCCAGCCAAAAGTCCTAGGTGCCCCTCAGAGGGGAGGAAGCACTACCCACAAGTGGAAGCAGGTGGAGGCCTATCATCTTGTCTCTGTGAGCCTTGGCAGCATACAGCTTTGCCCAGTGGGTTAGAAGACAACCCCTCTGGTCACCCATCACTCATGCAGAAGCATTTTAGGGCTTCAAAGGTCAAGGAGTGCTGTCCAATAGGAACTCTACAACTTCTTTGGGAGTGGGTCTACAGGTATATAGGCTCCATTGGCCATGTGCATTCTGCCTGCTGCAGTTCCCCTCACAAACTGGGAGCTGGGGCAAGTCAATGCAGAGCCACCCCTGGAGCTGTCCTCATGGAAAGTCAAAGAAGCCAGTCATAAGCTTTCTCTTCCAGCATCTCTTTGGCCAGACTGACAGTGGACAACCCTCAGGTCACTCACCACCAAGGAAAGTGGGTAAGGGGGCAGTGGTAGGGAGAGTGTGTTTCAGTGTTTCAGGTGAAAGCAGAAGCCATGATGGTGTGGGAGACAAGAACTCAGGAGGTTCTCAGATTGTGCTCTTTGGTTTTGCATCCCACTTGCTGGAGCTTGGGGAGTCTTCAAACTTACCCCAAGAGCAGCATGTGAAAACTAGATCTTTGCTTCTCTCCCACAAGCCAGCTCCTGGCACAGGTCTCTTTCCCACCCTCACTCTGTTCCTGCCCTACCTCCTTCCTTGACTTTCCCCACCTTGTTCCATCCCATTCTCTTGGCATGAATTCGGGCCCTCAGTATTCATGACTTCCTGCCAGATTCTCTTTCTCCATGTGGTTGCTGAATCCTGGTGTTTCTTTCTTTGGAAGACCTAATAACTTCACCCTCACAATGATATCTACTATAGTCCCCATCCTCAGCTCATTTGAACTTTTTCTTGACAGTCATCTCTCCTCATTTATTGTATCCTCCGTCCAGATCCACCCACTCATTAGAAGATCATTGTGGCACTTCATTGACCTCAGGATAAGGCCAGATACCCCAGCTGTGCCAGGACAAGCAAGTCTTGAGCACTCTTGCTACCTTACCCCACTTCCACCCCCAGGGCAGACCCCAGTGCCTTTCCCATGGAACTCAGCCTGGACATGAGAAACCTTCTCTGGATGACACTACAGACACCAATATCTGTCAGTAAGTGTGCATAAAAGGTGATACTGCCTATCATACTCTGTGTTTCCCAGTTGACCTTCACCAGGTTCCACACTGCCTCCTACTGTGAGGTTCTCTCTCCCCTCTGTCTTAGAGCTCTGCAGGCTGTGTCTTGCCCCATGACCTCTGTGTAGATTGAGTCTTGCCTCCACTGAAAGGTTTCTGGTCCTGGAGGGGCAGCTGTCTCAGCCCTGGGAGGCAGGCCGGTTGCATCTCTCTTAGTAGATGAAGGAGGCAGCTTACTTGATTGGATCCTCTGCTCCATCCACTCTGAAAGGCAGGGATCTGGTGAGGGTGAACTATTATTGATAATTCAAGCCTAGAAATGGGAGGTTAAATTGACCAGGTGAGCTGAAAAGGTGTTTAAGGGAGTTGAGGGCTCACGAATGCAGCATGCACCAGGTCACAGGTCAGCAGCTGTCATTTTTACTCCTACAGTGTGCCTTTAGGCATGTGACTTAACTGCTCAGGGCATCAGTTGTCTATAAAAACAAAAGTGGTGCATGAGGATGAGGCTGTTCCATTCCCCTCTCCCCCACCACCATGGAGGACCCACTGGGACCCAGGCCTCTGCTGTGGAGCAAGTCATGTGACAGGGGTGGGAAGAGGTCTTTGATACCTTCCAGTCTCTGATACTGAGTACCACCTGCTTTCCTCCACAGTTGCCGGGGTCACTGGAAGCATGGAGCTGAAGAGGGGAAAGACCTTCATCAAATCCAGCTTGCAGATTTCCCATGAGAAACCCCCAGACCCTGCAGCCACTGCTGTAGCCAGGGAGGATGCAGGTCCCTGGTCAGTCTCGTTGGGAGGGCAGCAGAGACCACATTGTGAGAAGGGTTCTGAAGCCAGCTCCAGCATCCAAGGGTATGATCGGTGCCTCAACAAAGGGGCACAGACTGACCCTGAAGGAGGTCAAGCCACCTTCAAATTGGTACGGAAGAGCAAGACTCATGAGAGTGTTCCAGGGGCCAGCAAGGCAGCAACCACCCCAGGACAGCTGGTGGGTAGCGCAAGCTTCCCAGGGCCCTCTGGCAGCCAGCGCATGATTGACTACCGCCACTTTGTGCCCCAGATGCCCTTTGTGCCAGCTGTGGCCAAGAGTATCCCAAGGAAGAGGATTTCTCTGAAACGGCCCAAGAAGTGCTTCCGGAACCTATTCCACATCCGCAGAAACAAGACAGAGAACTTGGCCTCACTGGCAGCCAAAGGGAAGAGCCTGTCCTCCCCGGGGGACCCATCGGATGCTGCAAGGCAGAGAGGCAAAACCTTCTTTTCCCAGGGCGAGGGGCTGGGGCTGGACGACCTGTGCCAGGACCTGTCTGACAGTGAGTTCCTGCCTGACTCACCCTTCGACCTCTGCAGTGCCCTGTGCGAGGATGTAGCCTCCCTGAAGAGCTTTGACTCACTCACAGGCTGCGGGGAGATCTTTGCAGATGAGAGCTCATTGCCACCCCTGGAGCTGAGTGAAGGCCCCGAGAGCCCAGGTCGGGTGTCCCAAGCCTTGGAAAGCAAGGATCCCAGAGGCCCTTCCCAAGACAGTGTGGAACAGCTGGCATCACCTGCCCAGAATGAGGTGTTGGATTTCACCAAGTTCTGGGACAGTGTGAATCGCTCTGTGAGGCAGCAGCAGCGTGCCCTGCTAGGCCCGTGGCTGGTGGGTCCTCAGGGGACAAACACAGACCAACCCAGGCTGGATGTAACTGGGTTGGCAGAGTTGCCCCTGTTTCCCTGCAGGGGCCCCCCAAGTGGCTCCAAAGCCAGCTCCGTAGACACAGGCACCCCCAAAAGTGAGCAGCCAGAATCTGTGTCTACGAGTGATGAAGGTTATTATGACTCTTTCTCCCCTGGCCTTGAGGAGGATAAGAAAGAGGCCCCAAGCCCAGGAACACCTGCAGCTGCCTTCCCTAGGGACAGTTACAGTGGGGATGCCCTTTATGAGCTCTTCTATGACCCCAGTGAGGCCCCTGTCGGCCCAAGCCTGGACGATGACTTGTGTGTGTCTGAGAGTCTGTCAGGACCAGCCTTGGGGACACCACTGTCCATGTGTAGCTTCCATGTGGGGGCTGAGGAGAACCTGGCCCCAGCACCAGGCCCTGACTTGCTTAGCCAGGGCTTCCTGCAAAGCTCTTGGAAGGGCAAGGAGTGCCTGCTAAAGCTCTGTGACACAGAGCTCGCTATCACCATGGGCATTGTCAACTGGCTTCGCCGAGCTCCACCTGCCCCAGCCCCTGCCCCTGGGGAGCCTGCAACCTCATCTGGTCCACAGAGGGCCCCTAGAGGACCGGCAGAGAAGCTAGAGGGCAGCGGGGAACAGGCCTCAGATGCAGGCAGGGCCACAGTGTGCTCAGCACCTAGCAGACAGCAGCTGTGGGCTCACCCAGGCACTAAAGGCCTGCTTGTCAAAGAGAGTAGTGTCCCAGGGGAGACTGTAAGGGGGACTGGCACCCCCTCCAAGAACTCCTCTCTAGAGGAAGAGACACAAGGCTACCCTAATGGCTTGATCTCCTCTGTGGGGTCTTCAGCCTCTACAAGAGACATTTCCAGTAAAGGCAAGGCTCCCAACTCCACTGCCTGGCCTGGCTCACAGAAGGAACCCAGGCCAGCTGAGAACCTGAGGAATTCTCAAGGGCCATGGAGGCCAGGTCCCGGGGGAAGTGCTCTGGATGTAGGGCCCACCTTGGCTGGCTATGTGGCCCGCGTGGCAGCCTTGCAGATCCACCCAGACAGCCAGCCTCCAAGGCAGGACATAGGCAGTGGACCCTTCAGGCAGTCTCCAGCCTGGGGCCCTGACCTTCTGCAGCAGAAACAGACCAGCAGTTCTCCCAATGGGGTAGCTGTCTGTGGCCTTCCCATCCAGAACAGTCCACAGGACCAGAGGTGTTCAGGCCTCATCCTGAACCTGAGCCAGCTCAAATTGGAACCCACCAGACTGGGTGCCCAGACCTGTGCCTCGGTGGAGGGCCAGTCACTGCAGCTCAGTCCCAGGGCTGTGGCACAGGCAGGAGGACACAGGGGTCAGCTGGACTCTGAATCTCCCTCAGGCCCTACTGCTGGGCGGAATCCCCGGGGATATCCCCCAGAAATCCTGGGCCTCACTTTGAACAGTCAGCGGTAGGTGGGCTCCTCTGCCAGTGTCCTCACATGCCGCCACCGTCTCCTGACCCAAGAAGGCCTCCCTTGAGGCTAGTTGGAAGTTGGGGCTTCCAGGCAAACCATGATGGAGCCCCATCTGTAAAACAAGCTCACCCTCCTCAGGAGCTGCATCTTTACAGTCATATTCAGGAGAACCAAGGAACCAAATTTCCACCTTTTGTCTGAAATTGGAGGACTGTGTTGGGGGGAAGGGGCAGGACTCAGTCAAATGGGGGGAGGGGTGGATTTTCATGTGGAGGCATTCGTGCCTGAATCCAAAGTCAAGGACAACTCAAAACTGTGAACACCTAGCTGCTCCTCATGCAGTATGTCAGAGAGGAGTTCAGATTTGGGACCAATGGGAAAAAAAAAAAAAATGGTCCACACTGTAAAATGAGAGGAGGCTAAGAGAGCCTATGTTTCTGCATGGGTATGAGAGAAGGGTGAGGTTCAAGGCCTGGAGCAGGAAACAGATGGGGGTGAGTGAACATTAAAAGGCTTGTGCTAGGGACTATGAAGCCAAACCAGTCCCATCCCAGCAAGAGCCCTGAATCAGCCAAGGTCCTGCATTATTATGCAACACTGCCAGGGCTAGCCAAAACTTGCCAACCCTTGCTGATGGGTGTTACTGGATTTTCTGTGACAAATTAACCTGTGTGAGTAATGATTTCCTTCAACTTGCACTCTCCAAGTCATGGAGAGCCAAAAAAGCCAAATGCTCTTTGAGAAGAAGCCCATTTTTTTTCTTCCCAAATCTGCAATTCTACATTTGAGCGGCAAAGGCCTTTCTCTCTGCCCCCTCCACACTCTCAGCATCCCCATTCCCTCTTTCAGGAAAACTTGCCTTGGAATGGGTTGGGCCCCAATCCAAAGGCCACAGCACAAAAACATTCAGAACCATGAAGGGAGAAGACAGCTGGTGTCCCCAGGAAGGGCAGTTGTCCGTTCTGGCCCAGTGTCAGGGAAGCAGGTGCAAGGACAGACGACCCACTTGCTTTCTACAGGATTAACTTCCATCTCAGCCAAAACACTGCAGTCAGAGGCAAAGGATGGGGCACCACAGGCAGCTGTGAAATTTGTTTCCAGGGGAAAGTGGGTGGATCAGATTGTAGACAAACTGTAAGAGAAATCACCTTTCATGAAGAGCTTCCATGGGTAGGGAAGAGAGATGAACCAGTCCCAACTGTGGGAAGAAGACAGAGGAGGAATTTCATACAAAGACTGCAGTCCCATAAGGTAGAACAGAGATGGTGCCTCTTCTGAATGTCTGACATTTGATTTCAGTCTAGAAATTCTGTGGCCTTCATTCAGCAGCTCTCTGAGACATGCTGTGTGCAGGATGTAGGCTGGATACTGCAGGTTTAAAAAGGTACAGAACTGCTCTTGATTGGGCCCATCCAGATCTGGGACAAGGGGGAGGTTTAAGGCCACCTCTCCTGCACAGCCCCATCTGAATCGTCCTTCCAGGCCCCACACACATGATCACAACGTTAATGAGCCTGGCTGTGAGCAGGTTTATGTGGGGATCAGTCTGCCTGAACCCTGCGTCATCCTAAAAATGCAATTCTTATCCTTTTCAGATCTCGACACAGATGCAGAGTCCCTGTGACTTGCCCATGGACACATAACAGATAGCGTGTGGGGTTGGTCAGGTTACCATGCCACTCCTGGTTCCAAAAGCCCTGCTCTTTGGCAGGCTCTGGAATCTCTTGCTGAATTCTCACAGCAAAAGCCCACCTCAGAGCCTTCCCCCATCTTTCTGGAAGCAGGCTGGGACCCGAGGGAGAGTCCACCCTCCCTCAATCATAGCCTTTGTATTGTATCTGGCTTTGTATTGTATCTGACAGAGTGAGTGCTCAGTAAATATGTGTTGAACGAATGAAGCGTCAAAATGTTGAATATGCTTTTCTCATTTCTTGTTGACCATGATCCGTGTAGGGAGAGAAACAGAGTAAGTTTAAACATGACTTTTCTTGAGAGCCAAATGCCTTTCTCATGGCAGGGGATAGTGATTCCTCATCAGGACTTTGAGTCATAGTCACTTGTGGTGACTGGGAAGAACCTAAGAGTATTTGAAAGGACAGGAACCAAGGCCATCCAGCCCAGAAAGGGGGCCTAGAATTAGCAGGGATGGGGAACCAATGGGCACCCAAGGACCCAAAGCCATGGCAAGGTTTGGTCTGCAGTGACCCAGCAGCAGAGCTAAGGAAACACAGAACCAGGGTCATGCCTACCTGGGAGGAACCAAAAGGCCCAGTAGCTCTGTACCTGGGAAGGGGTTTAAACAACCCCAGCTCTTCAGAGATTCTTATTCAGCCATCTCAGGCAGGGGTCCCCAAAATGGCCCGCGAGCAACTTGCTGGAAGGATGGAAGAGGTTAGTATGACCTCACTTTCAGGTGATTTCTCTCCCCACACTCCACTCAGGCTGCCCTCCCCGGTAAGAGAAGTCCAAGAAGGGCCAGCCTAGCCAGATTCCACAGGCCTTAGGGTGACCCAATGAGAAGAAAGAGGGACTTTGGAGTCAGCTAAGGTGTCTGATCTTGTGCTGGGAATGGAAGAGGCCTGGGTGGGCATTTTCAGAACTCTCTGGTCATTTCTTTCATTCTTTCTTTTTTTCTCCTCCTCCTCCTCCTCCTCCTCCTCCTCCTCCTCATCCTCCTCCTCCCCCTCTCTATCTCTATATCTATCTCTCTGTCTCTCTCCTGAAACTAAACCAAGGGCACTCTATCACTGAGCTATTCTCTCTCTCTCTCTCTCTCTTTTTTCCACTTTTTACTTTTATTTATTTTGAGATAGAGTCTCAGTAAGTGCCAAGGATGGCCGAGGCTGGTCTTGAAATTGTGATCTTCCTGCCTCGGGCTCTGGAGTTGCTGGGATCACAGGTGTGTGAGACCGCACCGGCCTTCTGATCATTTCTAACCATCTTTGTTCACATACAGCTGTAGAAGTTATCACAGGTTTTCTCTCTGTGAAATAAAAACTGGAGAAATAACGCCCAGCTCTCCCACAGAGCCTGAGTGACTTGTCTAGGGTTGCACATTAGGGGTGGCAAGGGACGGCCGGGGTGCACTGGGAAGCTGGGACAGGCTGGGTGAGGCTGGAATGGCAGTGGGAGTGTGGCAGGCCACATTGGGATGAAGCTAGAGAGTGGGAAGACTAGAAAAGAAGTGGTGAGGCGAGATCCTGCAAGCTGACAGGGAGTGTGCTTCTTACCCTCCCTGGTTTTCTATTTATTTTCTATATTGGGAATAAATACATGGGATGAAAAGTCAAAAGGCACAGAAGGCAAAACTGAGTGAAAATCAATTTTCCATCTTTCCTTCCTTTGCCCTCTGTTGTTACAAAATTAATTCACATTTATTGCAACCAGTTCAGGCAAAGGGCACCCTCTTCTTCCTTCCTTCTCAAATTCTGGTGTGTGTCCTCAGAACTTTTTTGGCCCATGACATAAATGCATGTGACCTTTGATCTTTTCTTTCTTTTTTTTCTGCCCAGGACTTCCTCCTCGGCCTTGGAAACCTCCCCCTATTCCTCTGAACAACTGCAGGGCAGTCTCATAGGTGACAGTTACTTGAAACTCGCTCCAGTTGTTGGACATTAGAGTTGTTTCCCATATTTGTTATTATAAACGAAGCTTCATTTACTCTTAATTCTCTATTCTCTAAAGTCCTCTGCAAAATTGTGAAAACAGAACTCATCGTAACAGTGAAAGTAGGTATGTTTATAATGAACAGAGCTTTCTGTTCCCACAACTCCGCTCCACTGCCAACTGCCAGACCTGACGTTAATGCCTGAACTCCACATTCACATTCAAACTCCATGGTCGAGGGGGGAGTGATTTCTATTGTTATTGCTGTTATTATTACAGGTAAAGACCTTAGATATCATCATCCTATCCTTTAATAAGAAAAAGTTGGACAAACTGAATATCATTGACTTCCCTTGACCTATCAGAGAACTAAGATCACAGGGCCACCCCCCACCCCGCCACCCCCAGATCCAAGCACATATTCAGAGAAGTACTGGGGCCAAGATCTGTAGCCTGGAGGGAAGTCTAGTGATACCTAGAACTGGCAGGAACACCTGAATAGAAATTTTGACATGTTTTTGCAGACTGAGTGGGAAGCTGGGGCTTGGGTGATAAAGGGGACCAAAACCGTTCGAGAGGATTTTCTTCCAAGAACCAGTCCACATTTTTTAGAATGAGGATCACAGAAAGATCCCTTCATGGCCCTGATGGGGATGGTAGAAGGGAGGACATTGGGAAAACTGTGACCCCTTGCCCTAACAAAAGCCTCCATTGAAGAAGAGGGGCTCCCCAGGGCTATGCTGAAACCTCAAGGCTGAAGGAAAGAGCCCATCCCTCCAGACCTCTCTAGCCTTCCTGTCCCACCTAAGGAAAATCAACAGCTCAAGCAATAGTCAAAAAGGGTCAAGGCTCCACAAAAATGGACTGGAAACACCGAAAAGGAACCAGACTCAAAGTTTAATCCCACCCCTCCCCCCCCAGGCACAGCAACTAAAAAAATGATGACTGAGTTGAAGATCAGAGGGGGACAGTCCCCCACCATGCTCTTACGCTGCCACCACACCAACAAGGCTCCCATGATGAGAACCGTAGGTTATAGCTAAAAGGTCTACAAGAACATACTCTGAGCACAAAACAAAGGAAAGAAAAAGAAAAGAAAGAGGGAAAAATAAGCTCACTTGAGTAATTGGAAGCCTCTGGTATCTGTGGCTATGACGCGCTGACAGTCTAGTTGCCTGCCAGATTAACATACATCCTTACATTGGGAGCTTTTGATAGGGCTGGGGGTCTGGCTTAGTGGTATAGCCAAGTGTGAGGTCCAAGGTTCTATCTCTACCATCGCATAATAATAATAATAATAATAACAACCACCACCACCATAATAACCTATTGGACTCTGTACCTGTTATCCTATATAAATGCTTGGCTTTGGACAGCAATTTACAAAGCAACGTTTCAAAGGACAAAATTACAGCAGTTTCATGATCTTAATTGGCTTTAGTTTTGACTCTAGAATCAGGCAACACTTCATTCCATAAAATAGTGTGAGTATTCCAATGATCTGAACAGAAG